TAGTTTCATATTTATGTTTTCTAGACTAACAGTAGATTTGATATAAGAGCTGCATTCACCATATTTTGCTTAAGGGGATGAAATACTAGTAGTAAAATTATCCTATAATAATATGAGCAGGCCTGAAGTTATTGTTAGATTAATTTCTGCATTGTACACTAGTTTCAAAGTGGTGCAGTGGCTAACGTGTTTACGCCGTATCCTATACTTCCACAACTCGGGTTGAGTCCCCTAGGAGTGCTGACGAGATTTTGGCGAGGCAAGGCTAAGTGAAATTCAATAGAAAAATAGGGCTTATTCATATCATTTTGGGAAAACTCTACTAGTAGCTTTTCACCTGAAAAACAATAGGGGGAACATTATATGATTGTTCCTTTTGATAAAGATGAAGGCCACTTTAGAACAATCATTGTCTAACCTTCCAGGCTCAACGAAGAATGTAGACGATAGTTAGTCTTAGATTTCTCTTTTTATTGACCCAAATTTATAGGTATCGCCTAGGAATAGGAGACTGAAATGCATTATCTGGAAAATAAAATAAATAGAACAAAAGTTGGGAGCGATTGTGGCTATGAACGTGGTAATATATAGATAAAATAGCGCAGGCTTTAAATTATTTTAAAACCCACAGGATAATGAGAAGAAATAATATGAGTTGTTTGACGCATGCTACATTGTAAGTTATTTGTCAGCAATTATTGCGGTGCATTAAGACCTAAACGTTTACAATTATTATTTTTTATGAATTCCTTCAGTTAGTAAAGGAGTCGGTAATAAAATATGGGGATTTCCTTGAAAGTATTGTCAATGCAATGTCAATGTGGCATCAGTATTGATGTCAATAGAGGCTGAGATTTCGCTAAGCAGAGCCACGTAGGCCCTAGGATTAGAACCCTGAAATTTTAATGAATAGAAATTTAGTTAAGGAGTTGGTTTTAGCAATTACGAATTTTATTTTCAGTGACATTATATGAGGAAATATTAGGATTAGCTATGAAAATGTGAGCAAATTTTAGTAAATAATTAAATAACTAAATTGGAGGGTCGCCCAACTCATGAAGCGGTTTGGCAATAGAAGGCCGGATGCTTTTGAAAATTTAACTATTGGGATAGATGGTAAGGCCCAATTAATTATAGCCTTGTAAGGGATGGCAAATTATCCTTTTTGATGCTCTAGTAAGTAAAAATGTAGTAAAATTAGTTAGAGATCAACAGATGTGGGTTTCTTTCCAAATATCTTCCTTAATCATATTTGTATCATATTGCTATGATGATAAATAGTTTGTTGTTTTTTAAATTTTAATAACCGGTACCAGGCGACGGGAAATGTAATGGAACTTTTAGCCCAAAATAATTAATTAAACTTAGATAACATTTATTTGAGAATATGAGAAATTAGGATGAGGGTATAAACTTTTTTGAATAGGACAGGCGGCTGGTTCTCTTTGATATCACACGATTGTCAGTAAAAAATCCTAACATCTCTTCGGCCAAAATTTCATTTAGCTCTAGTGTCATCTACAGTAATTTTAACTATTGGCACTCATGTAAGGTTAGTAGTCGAGTGTTATTGCAAATATATGTTCGCTTCATCGACAATCCCACCAGAGAATATGACATGGCAAAAAAAGGCCTAGCCTTCCTTGACCCAAAAGGCGCTCGTGGCAGTGTAGCCGAGTGGTTAGCGTGTCAAGCTCCCATCCTGCACTGTCGCGGTTCGACTCCGGCTGAGGGTGTTGATAAGACCGATGCGAGGTCGAAACTTCAGTTCATCCTGGATGAGAACAACATTTAGGAAAGCAAGGCTATGTGAAATTCAATGGAAACGTCAGCTCAACTCATGTCATTGTGGGAAAATTTCTTCTTCTACCAGTCCTTTATCCCCTTAAAGAAATTGGGTGAATACATCTCATAACACTGATTTACTAGAAGTCTCGAAAACAATACTTAATGCGAAAAATATGTCATAATAACTGGGTATATTTTTGGACTACCACTTTCTTTTGCTATGGGCGTAGTAAAATTTAGTAAGAAAGTCATTAAGACTAAATACGCTTGGCACATGACAAAAGAAAGCTAAGCGCAGTAGCCTCGGGTCCGCTAGAAATTTCTTCAAGGTCCTCTTCGGGCAAACCTCCAGTCACAACCCCAATGTAATCCCCCTTTAGGTTCTAATAAGACTGAAATTTAAATCCCTTTCACTCTATTGTACCAGCTAAAGTAAATGTATAATAGCACGATTTTGTTAATAAATTATTCAAAACTTTGCTTTCATCAACCTTCCTCAATGGTTAATGGGGAAAACCCCAGGGTAGAGCCCGCTAGATCCTGTCAATTGGGAATGAGAAGATGCTATGAACCTTGGGTGTATATAAGACGACATAGAATACTAAATTAACTGCTGACAACCTAAGTTAACTTCGAAGGTAT